ACCAAGGTAGAACAAATATGATCAAGAAAAGTCCTTGAGTTTGCCTTGGGACTGCCATAAGTTGGACATGACTTGAAGGCACATTACAACAGTCACTGTTTATATAAGCAAGTCATTCTTCCTTGTCAGATCTCATTGTGACATCATGAAGCAATATTTATTGTAATCACTATGCAGTAAAAGTTATTTAGGACTGGATTATCCATGATTTGAAGGCAGTAATCTCTAATGACTCCATGCTTTGCCAAAAGTATGATGGTACTGGATCTTTCAGGGAGCCCAATTCTACATAGGGGGTCAATGCAAGGACCATTAAAAGATAATGTGACCACAGGAATAGATTAGCTACAACAGTAGTTCCCAAACTCTGTTCCTCCAGTTTTTTTCTCCCAGAATTTCTGATCTGTTTGGCCTTCTGGAAGTCAAGTTTCAAAACACCAAAAAGGTCAAGGTTTGGGAAGCACTGAACTAAAGTCATATCCATTCTCTGGTGATCCCCTGAGCTGGATAACCATAGCATGTAGGGCTCACTTTAAAGGCAAGCTGGAAATTTCATTTTGTGCAAAGTACATCTTCTGGGAATTATAACTGTTACAGCCAAGTAGAGACATATAAGCCCACGTTAATGTATTAGTGCCTTGAGCTGCCTGTTTCCTTCTGAGCCTAAATAAATGCGCTGGCACTTACCTTCAAAGCTCTAAATCAGTGGTTTTCAACCTATGGGTCCCCAGATGTTTTGGCCTTCAACTCCCAAAAATCCTAACAGCTGGTAAACTAGCTGGGATTTCTGGGAGTTGTCGGCCAAAACACCTGGGGACCCACAGGTTGAGAACCACTGCTCTAAATGGTTTCAAATATAGTGCACATTATGCGAGACTTTTGCAGAAGAATGTTCATAAACCTCAGCTGAACCAAGGAGTTGCAGCCAGAATTGTACTTGGGCATGGTTACATACAAAGAAGCACACATTTTCCTCCTTACAACAGCTCCACTGGCTGCTAGTATGTTTCTGGGCCCACTTCGAAGTTCAAGTTACGTCTTACAAAGCCTTATAGGGGTCAGATGTGAGTTGTCTGATGGACCATATCTCCTACATGATCTTCCTTGTCTTGAAAACTTCTGGTGAGACCTTTTCTCTGACCTTTGATAGAAACATAAGAGAAGGCTTTTTCAGTGGTTGCTCCTAAAATCCATAACTCACCTCCCAGAGTTAGACTGGCTCCTTCCTTGCTATCTTTTCGTAGGAAGGTAAATATATTTTTGTTTCAGTGTGCCTTTGGCAATGGATTGCTCAGGGGAAGGGACTTTTCCAATGAGCTATATTTATTTTAATTTTTAAAATCTAGATATTTCTTTTAAAAAAATTTTTTCAGTTCTATCTTTTGTAACCTTTCCTGAGTCCTGGACTGGGAAAGGCACCGGATCCCATCTGATCTTGGAAGATAGGTGGACTTAGCCAAGATTAGTACTTGGACTATTCTATAATTTAATTTACATTGTGTAAGCCTGGGGCGCCACATTGAGAGGAAGGCAAGATATAAATTAAACATAAGGGACTCAACAGCTTGCTTGATGCTTTTTGTTTTTGTTTTTATAAGAGAGAGAGAGAGAGAGAGAGAGAGAAGAGTCAGATAATATAAATCTCTCTCCTACAATTCATATTGTTGTCATATGAGTTTTCTAAAAGAACAAGAATGGCATAGGCTCATTTTTCTTTTTCTTTTAATGACTCAAGTAGTTTTTAATAGTGTTAGAGAAATCAATGGTAATAGCCAAAGTTCTGGATAAGCTATGAATTTTGATTAAATGTTTCAGATACCATGTTGCTCTCATACAGCTCTGAAAATTACTTAGTCAGCATGAACATATGGAAATGTATTTAGGCACACATAGGCCCCTTCCTTTCAGGAGACTTCTGCATGCTTACCCTTGCGTTGGATCTGGTTGAACACAGCAGTATTTCAATGAGTGGTTTGGAAAATATAGGACATAGTTGATTTCATAAGTGGGTAATCAGCTGGTGGAACATTTTGTTTGTCAGTTTGTTTACAATTATTTTTATTGCCGCCATTGATTTGCATAGATTACTTAGTCTATGGAGACAGTTTTGATATATAAAAGTTGATAAGAAAATATAATTCATTGTGTTGAAAATTGAAAATATATTTGGCTTGAGAGATTTAATGGCTTAGAAGAATGAAATATTGATTTAACATGCCATCCATTTTTAGCTGTGCATGCAGACATTGCTAAACTACAGGTCTCTCAGCCATCTTGACTTTGATTTGAGGAGTACACATCATAGTCATAAAGTCTGGATGCTGTGATTTGTCTGGGTGCAGACCATTCAAGAGAGGCACAATTCCGGACCATGTTTGTGAGAAACAGATAAGAGCCATTATGAAGTCCAAATGGGGACAATAAATTACTCTGACGTTTTCATCTAAACAATCCAGGTGTGCCTGGGGATAAGGCTGTTTAGAAGACATGGGACATGTCCAGGGCATTTTGTTGCCTTGTTTGAAGAATATGATAGTGCTTCTCCCATTTCAGACACCAATGCCAATGAGAAGTACAGTAGAAAGATAGTAGACTTCAATTTGTGCATACTGTCATCCACTAAACTTGAGAGTAGGAGACTGGCATAAAGAGAACAAGGCAAGCTAGATAGACACATGTATTTGTCAAAGTGCTATTTGAGATTTTCATTATGCTTATTATTAGGGAAGCCACATCCTCTGATCTGGAGAGATCTGGGCTGCCTTTCCAGGTGCAGTTATGGAATTATGATTAAGTCTGTGGTGAACATCATTTGCTCTAGAACTAGAGACTCAGAGACTTGGGTAACAACCCCTCTTTGACCATGTAGCTCACTGACTTATGCTGGTTGCTCTGTCTCAGACTGACCCTCACAGGAGGATTGAGAAGATGCCCACAGAGTACCCATGTATATAATCTCAAGTAGAGCTGGGGAAAGTTATTTTTGAACCAAGTTATTTGAACCACTGCACATGCTGGCTTGGGGGATTTTTGGAGTTCTGGAGCCAAAAGGTAACTTTTTCAACTCACAATCTGATTCTTAACTTCTTGTAGGTAGATATCTTTTGTGGAATGCGCAAGGTTCTGGTCAAGGTTCCAGGCATGCTTTGGGTGCATTTTACCTAAGATTTTCTAAGGAAATATCCATTATTGCAGCATGTGCATTGTAGGTATGAAAGAACCAGTGTTGTGTATTTGTTGCACAAGAATAAGAGAAACCAGGGTCCAAATTCCTACTCAGCATGGAACATTACTTTCATAATATTAAGCATACTCTTGGGCTCAGAGAAAAGGAATAACACACTCCCACTGAACAGATATTGTCAGGAATATCCCATAGATAAGAAATAACTTGAAGGCTCAGAGCAACAAATTGTACCTATACCTATAAGAAGAAGAGAGAGTTACCATTTTGTGCCGTGTACAAAGCATCCTTTATGGTGAAATTGATATTGACCTCGGAGGTGTCTATGGACAATGCTGGCTCTTTGGCTTAGAAATGGAGATGAGCACCATCATCAGAGTCGGACACAACTAGACTTAATGTCAAGGAAAACATTTACCTTTTTTATATGGGGGGGGGGGGAATAATATAAAATAATACATCTTAATGTAATGTGAAAAACTGTGATCAGGTGATCTGAGTGTCTTTTTAGTCCAGGTGCTAACTTTTGAGGGCCAGATTTAAAGTTTCTGTTGTCCCTCCCTGTGATTCATTAGTTTTCCTGTTACTTTGGATCAGCCAGCCATAGAGGACGCCTTCAAGCATTCTCTAATACTTCAAGCATTCTCTAATACTTCTTCATATAGTGCTTGAGCTTCCTGTTTGAGGAATAATCCAGAGGCTCAGAAGGCAGTTTTTATTTTTTCACCACAGAACCAAAGCATAGTCATTCAGATATGGGAGGAACCAAAGGATGAATTTGAGTCTATAACAAAGCCAAGACTTTAAAATGACTAACAAACCAGAGCTCCTCCCACCAAGGTGAGATCTTATAAACATTTCAAGAGTTAGAGGAGAGGTAATTCATGTGTAATGGTTTGATAGCAATTTTTAATGCATGGGATTCACCATCAGTAGTACATGGCTTGGAAATACTTTTTTTTAAAGTAAATAATAAAAGCCAGAAATATCTGCAACTCCTTCCCCCTCTTCAGGAGCAAACACATTCTTTGACTGACATTCAGTTATAGATCTATAACCTAGAATTATGGATTCATATTCTCCAGGTCCATTATAATAACCAGAAGCCAAAATCAGATGACGATGGTTTGTTCAATTACAGATTGGGGCACAAGGAGAAAGATGTGTGCATTCCTCTCCCACCAGAAAGGAAGCCTGCTGGTGGGAGGGGATGGCCCAATGGACAGATGAACAAACCTTATTCCTTGTGTCCCAGTGAGGCTGTTGCTGTTAAGGCAGGCTGGGGGGGGGGGGGCAGGCTAGAGGTTCCTTTGGGCCCTTCCAGGCAGGCCCTATATTCCATGATCTTATCCCAGGTTTTCTGTTTATCCCAGATTATCTGGCAGCGGGAACTCATATAATCCAGTTTAAAGCAGAAAACCTAGGATCAGATCCTGGGATCTAGGGCCTATCTGGAAGGACCCCTAGTTACATATATGTACCCAAGTATCTGATGTACAATATAGAGGGTTTTTTTGCCAAGAGAGTGACTTTGGAGCTGGCTTTGAGACTGGCTGTGGCCATGGATCACACTAATCACAGAGTTCCTCTATGAACATTTTCTAGTCATTAAAATAAAAGTAATTATTCCACAAAAATTTGTCATGGAATAACACACTGGATCTTTGCGAACAGCTTCATGTAGAACTCAAGGTATAATATACAAAAGAATGCACCTTTGCCATTTACATCTATCAATTTCATATAAACTTTTGTTTAAATATTGAAAATAAAAATGCATAATCGGTTAACACGTTTGTAAAGAACACATCAGGGGTTATTTTTAAAAGGAATATTTATTGATAGAGCCATTTAAACAACTCTAATAATACATGCTATTTTTTTAAAAAAAGAAATAGCCTTAAAAACCAGGATTACAGGTTGGTTTTAGTTCTGTTTGCTCCATCTGCATTTTATTTTGTGGATGCCTTTTGGTATGCTATTCAAAGATTCATGACTGTCACTCCTTCAGCCATTAAGCTTTTTTTTTTTTTTTGGAAAATAATTATTGCATGAAACTACATTCCCAGGAACATTCTGAACAACCTCAAGAAAAGCTGCATTGCATGTCCAATAGTGCAATTCACTTATCTACTGAGTAATATAAAACACTTTTTACAGAGAATACAAAACAAAATGACTGATTTACAGATTATACTAGCCAGAGTATTGTTGAGTTTTAATACAAACAAAACGCTTTGAAAAATGATTCAAGAGGAATTTTTAAAATTGTGTGTTTTCTTTATTTTTGCAAAACTGCATAATAAATAGACATGATCAGTATTTTACATAGATACCTTAACAACAAGAACACAGTTACTGATGACTGACTGGGTTCACTTAATCATTTTTCTCCCCCTACAAAGAAAACATTCCTGACCTCTCAGTTTTGCTAAAGCCACAACTTGCAAAGAGGCAGGTGACTTTTGCACAAGGTAGCACATTGGCTCTTTCTAAAGAAATGGTGGGGAACACTTTCCAAGTATAGAATTTGGTTTTAGAGAAGTTGTCCAGGGACTATATTCCAGCAAAAAGGACAAAAGCATAAAAGTGGAACCGAAAACACCAGCAGGGAGACAGTGGAGAGAACTGTCTTATTCCGTTCCCTCATTTTGTTGAGGTCTATCTTCGGCCAGCCCACATCCTTTTCTCATTAAGGTCCATCTTTCCCCCACTCTCTCCTGTTTGCAGTCAGGTAGCACTTGGCTCCTCACAAGGCATTCTGGGCTCAGTTTCTCTGTGCTGTGGAAACAGAGCCCCACAGAGACCCACTGGAAGTGGTCTTGTGTCATATGATGGCCTCTGTGGGACTCCGTTTTGTCAGTGCAGAGAAATGGGAAGAAGATACAGAGATGACTCTGTCTGATGAGGTCCTTAGTTCTAAAAATCTTGTTCAAAACCAGTGACTTCCCAATACTACACAGTATTGTGCTAGGTTTCTACTTTAGTTACCATAGCAACAACCTATGGAATTGGGATTTTCATTATAGGATAGAGCAATAATAATAATAATAATAATAATAATAATAATAATAATAATAATAATATGTTTATTTAAACCCCACTTTTCTCTCCACAAAGAGACTCAAAGAGGCTTAGAAGATTAGCCAGATAATTCTAATGTTGCACCAGACTACATATTAGAATTCCATATAATGTAGTCATGGCATTTAAAGTGGAACCATAATGCCATAATGGTACAGTGTGAAAGCACTCCAAGAATCTCCAGTAGGGCTTGGAAACAATTCTCCCGGAAACCCAGAACATTCACTGCCAATCAGTGCTAAAGCTGCAGGTATACCACTGCAGCAAAGTTAAGGGTTATATTTACGATGTGATTTTAAAAGATATCTAAATGCATCTTCCAGTCTGTGTAATATTATTCCCAAAAACTGAAACCATCACAGATCTCTGCATTTTCAAGGACCTCTTAAACTGACAATTTACTATAAGAATCAGATTAAATTTCTCTGCTATTGGTAACATGTTTTATTGAAAACCAAGTTGCATAATCTCAAGAGGGGAAAAAAGCAAACAAACAAACAAACGAGAAGCTTGCCAACCCACCATTGAAAAAGTGCATCCGTTGACTGACATTCATATACCTATGCCTTCATGTGATGGTTTGATAGGTTCTGGCAAGGCTGTTCGCTTAGAGGAGATAGCTGCTTGTTTTGGATGACTGCCCAACAATCCAGATAAGGGCAAGGAAATGGGATTCTGCTCTTTGCATTAAAATAGCACTCACACAGATCCAATTGTATCTTATCTCCATGCAATGGATGTGGGGATAGCACTGCTAGAGATTGAATATATTTTGCCAGTGGAAGCTCTTGGTTTTTAGGTTGGTAGGAAGTTTTAGTCCAAATTCGAAAGGAACTATCAATCCTATCCTCCAAATGGATTCAAAATGTTGGATAGGTCTTTTAAAGTTTGGATTAAAAACCTGAGCAAATTGACACTTGTGCTGACATGGAAAACTAGTATCCATCCCTTCTTGTTGTTTGCTTAGAAACAAAAAGAAAGAGAAGAGAAAGAACCAGACTTTCATTAAACAGGTTTTTCAGATTTCACGTGAAACGTGAAACATAAAAGCCCACAATGAAACATCACATTAACCTTCATATACCATTATATCCAAAGTTAGGTTCCATCTGCATTCTTGATGTAACTCTTTATCTATAAGCCATGAGTTGAGTTCTCTTTATGATATACAATCAAATGATTCTTAAATGGGCCTTTCCATCTCAATTGCTTTTCAATGCAAGGGGCAATAATGCTTTAATTTTAGTTTAAATAATTTAAATTATGCTCCTCTCCCAACATTGGATAACCACCACAATCAATCTAGTCAAGAGCGACGATGAAGCTCCTGGCTCTGGAATAACGGGTGAATCAAGGGATTCAGATGTATTGCAGATGATGCAGCTGCATTCAGCTGTGGAGCAAACAAGGTAGGAATAAATGCAGCATGGGGCAGAGGTGGGAACATCAAATGTGAAGGATGAATGGGAGTTGCAGATACTAAATGAAATGGATGTCCAGCTAGCAGTCCCGAATGTGCAGGCATGAAGGTTGGAGTAAAAGGCGAGAGAGATATGGGAGCAAACTGAGCTTGTGAAAATGGATGTATATGAGCGAGGGAAAGATGGCTACCATGAGGATGGACTCCAGTGGACAAAGCAAAGCTTTGTAGGAGTGTTTGGTGGAGAGTAGAAACAGAAGACTGCTGCTGAATTGGAATGGGTTGAACAGCAGGGGACGTGGAGAAGGCAGTTGGCCCTGTGGCAGGCAGGACCTTGAGATGCCTTGCCAACAGTTGTTTCTGCATATGCTGTTGGGCCTGCAGTTGAAGAAACTTGTATTTGTCTATTTCATCAGGAGAAAATGTAATAGGTTGCTGTGTTAAAGGAAAGGAGATGCATTTACTGCTTTCTGTTTCACTGGATTTATGCATAGCATTGTCAGAGTAACAGTTTAGATTACTTCCCTCCCCATTCAAGTTCACATTTGCATTGTGTTCTTCTTTGGTCTCTGTTAGATTTGCGACAACAGAATATGTATGAGAAGGGAAAGCACCAGAAAAGTCATTTGGCACTGCATCACAGCTTGGTAGAAGGGATTGCATTTCACCAGGTAAGACATTAGATTGCTCCTTTATTGCTGCACCCTTTTCCATATTTGGAGGCTGGAAGCCTGTTCCTCTTTGAATTAAGTCTTTAAGCAGGCAATTACCATAGGCAGCATTAGCAGTAAGAGTAACACTATCTATTGCTGAAATATCAACTTGATGGTTGCTTTCCTTGTTGTGTTCTGCCATGGTTTCGTTATTCCACACATTGCTTGCATTGGTGCTGAGGGCTTTCTCGGGGGAAAGGAACATGACCTCTCCAGCCATTAAAGATGAGTTTTTAACACCAGGTTGACTATGGGGAACACCTATTTCACAGGTATTTGAAAAACTCTCAGTGTTCTGAGTTTGCTCTTGGTTTCTCTTTGAGTTCACCTTCTCTAAAAGTAGCTTGGCAGTTAATGACTTTCGCTGTCCCAGTGCTTCTCTTTCAAAGTGGCTGATGGAGCAAATTCCAATATGTTTTGATGGGCATCTAAGATACCGGCAATCTGAGTGTACAGAGTTTGATTTTCCAGGTTCAGCACAGTCACTTCTTTTCATATCCCCTTTGTGTTCAATCCAGCTGTGCATTGATCCTTTAGTAAGGGATCCTGAACTACTGCCTCTTGATCTGGTGCCACTGGATGATCTTTCGCTGCTTCCTGAATCTTGGATGGAAGAACCTTTGGAGCCTTTAATGTAGCTCCTGCCCCTGCTGTGTTTACAGAGAGGGTGTCTATTTCTGGTCTGCTTTGATATGTCTCTTTGTAGTAAATGCCTATATCTTGAATGCCTTTGATATTTTACTGTATGCCTCTGTGTACAGTTTCTAGATCTTTGACTTTTTTTGTTGAAATGGCAATCCTCATCTGCATCATCAGAAGATGAAATGCAATTGTGCTTTTTGTGTTTACATTTTTGCCTTTCAACCGGCTTTTGTTTCCTTTTACAACAAAAAGGCAAATGACTTCTGCTGTGATCACTGGATCTGTGACTAAAGTAGCAACTAGTCATGCTGCTAGCAGAGGTGTCAGAATAATTAGACTGTCTGTCAGAAAAGGGCTTTTGCAGAGGAGAGAATTTCCAGCAACCAGCAAAACTCTCACCATCTTCCTTTTCCAAACACTCCCCAGTGGAACTGAAGGTATAACCCAGAATTGAATCGTCCCTGCTGTCACTTATGTTACTGGGACAGGAGACCAAATTCAAATTGTTCTGTCTTTGGGAATAGATTAAATCACATTTTTCACATGTTTGCTTTTCTGTCCTAGAAGCCACCAAAGGATAGATGCAAATATTTTGTGTCACCTCTTCCTGTAGTGTTTGTTCAAAGTTCTGCAAGTGCTGTGCTAAAGATCTCACATGCATCGTTGTACGAGGACTTGTTGCTCGTGTGTAATGCCTTTGTGAGCAATCAAGGTGAGCAGGCACTTCTGGTATACTTTCATTTGAATCATCTGAAATGTACTTTGAAGCACACAGATTCATTTCATTCTCTGTGTCTGATTCCAGTTTTGGCTGGGACTTGTTGAGGCTTACAGCTCTTTTCTTCTTCTTTGGCTTCAAAGATTGATTATCGGGTTCATTGGACAGCAGCTGGATCTCGGTTAGACCTGAGGCTTCAATTTCATCGATGTCCATGTTTTTAAAACACTCTTTAGGACTTTCCACGTTGCTTTCATTGTGTTCACTGTCTCTATGGGACAAAGAGAGCCTAAAATCAAAATATAATGGATTGCAACCATATGAAATAGATGGTTCTGTTTTTGTAAACAATAGTAGTTCTGTGGGCCATCGTAAAGCTGTGCTGCCATCTTTACTCACTACATGAAGAAAAGGCAATGCTTTAGGCTTAATTTCATGAACCAGTGAATCACTCCTTGGTGTTTCATTGTTTGCATTCACAGTTTTTGAACAATCAGGATATTGTTTGAATGCACAGGGATTACAGTTTACCTCACATGGATGTCTTTGTTTGGATGACTGTTGGCCTAAGAACTCAGGGACATGTTCTGCAAACAGGACATCACTGTGCTTGTAAGTATTTTCCTGCATGCAAACATTACTAGTTGGGCGGTGAGGTGCAATAACAGTTTCCAGGCATTTCTGAGTCTCATTCTGAAGTCCTTCTTGTTCTTTTGCATTTGGAGACCCAATATATTCCAAATCTGGAAGATGTAAATTTTCATTACAAGAAGAAAGATGGCTTTCCACTTGCTCTCTGTCAGTGTTCTGATCATGTCCTTTCTGCATTTTCTTTTTTCCAAACAGACTGCAGGATGCAATACTATTTGGGTGACCTTGAAGTGCATTTAACCGTTTTTGCAAATTTGTTCTCCTCTCATCGCTCATATGAATGCAACCATGGCACTCTTTGGGAGCTTGTTTTGTTTTATGCCTAGGTGATCTGATGCAATCGTATGCTTCTTCCATGTTCTCACTGAAGACAGATGCTGATGACTCAAGCTTCAAATGAACTTTCTTAGAGAATGAAAAAGACACTCCAGCCCGATTACAGGCATTTGTTCCACAGGAAAATGCTGGAGAAATCCGATTTCTAGGCAAGTGGTGCCTCTCGATGCAAGATTGGTTCTTGCTTGGCAAAACCTCCTGCTGTTTCTCTGGAGTGCTGCTGGGAAGATTTTGTCCTTCCGCTCTGTTCTTGGCTTTGCTTTCCTCCACTAAAAGAGGCTTTTCTTGTGGTTGCTGCTGTTTTTCTGTAATCACTTGGGGAGTGTTCACCAGAGGTCCACATTCGGCAACACTGGAAGCAAATGACAAAATAAGGTTATTTAAATTAACGAGTTCATTTCAGAAAAAATCAACAGAGTTCACTGATGCATCTTGATTGGGCATGAATTATCTTGATCACCAGTCTCACTAGTAGCCTTCAGGCTAAGCAGCGAAGAAATCTGAGGTGTCCCTCTATTCAAATCAAGAGCTGCTTAGTGATGCTGAGCTGACAAGACTATGAAGCATTGAAGAGAATATAGTGAAAATTACTGAGCTACAATGCAAATATGACTTCTTTGGCCTATTCCAGTCATATAAAAAGGAAGCATACTCCTAATGCTATTTCAGGCTCATCATAACCCATCATTCATTGAAGTTCCTCCTGGTATGACTGGTGGCTTCTTTCAGGTTACCCATGATTTCCTTAAGAATGCTCCGCACAGTAAACTGAATGACATGCCCATCTGTATGAGCTTAGTGGTGTCTGCCTGTATGGAACTAATGTTACTTCTTCCTGCATGTGTGGAGAACTCTTAACCTCACTTGGAAGAAATACTATGCTACAATGGAAGCTTCCTTAAGGAAAACTTGGTATCGCTTAGATCCACACTATTCAAATTTATCTCCTCAAAAAGGGTCCTGTCACAGCCTTGCTTATTTATTTATTTATGACATTTCTACTCTGCCTTTCTCATCCCAGAGGGGACTTAAGGCAGCTTTACATACAGGCAACAACTTGATGCCCTGACACACAATATAAACTTAAAACAATATTAAAATAGAATATAAAAGTACATTAAAGCAATTAAAACATTTAAAAACAATACACTAAGAGTTAAACACATAATCCATGAGCGTAATCTGGGTCATTCCAATAGTCACTGCACATTACTCCAAGTCTATCTATTGCAAAAGTTCTTTAAAGGCTTGGTCACAAAGCCATGTTTCCACTCTCTTGTGTAAGATCAGAAGGGAGGGGGCTGATCTAACATCGCAGGGGAGGGAGTTCCGCAGTTGAGGGGCCACCACTGAGAAGGCCCTGTCTCTCATTTCCACCGATTGTTCCGGCTTATGTGGCAGGAGAGCATTGGAAATATCTTCCTTGGACCTTCTATGAACAGACCTCCTATGCCATATATGGCAGCTGGTTCTTAAGGTGGATCAGAGTGGAATGTATGCAGACTTCCAATAAGACTGTGTAATCATACAGAATACTGACCAGTTATGGATCTGTAATTCTGAGTTACGATTCTGTTACTGCAGTACTAAATACTGATCTACATCTTTAATTTTCTCTCACTGAGATAGCATTATTTTAGTTCCATAAAAGTATCTGTTCTGAGAGTTTTGATTATGTGCATATTCATGAAAACAAGGATTTATAGATGAAGCAAAGGAGGATCTAAGCTTTACTTTTTTACTTTTCCTAGCAATTTTTATTTTTACATATTGCTGACAGCACTAAACTATGATCAGTTTTAATAAGGTTAAGAACCCCAGTGTTAATAAAACATTAAAAAGCAATGCTGACTGAAACAGCAAGCCATTTCCATGAAAATGTTAGTCTCCTAAAAAACCTCTCCTTTTTTGTCTACATGGGAAAAGAGGAAAGTGTTAAGGTTCACGCAGAAGATTGTGTGTTGAAGAGAAGAAGGATGTGGCTACTCTTCAGAAATCTGCCCAGTATTCTTGTCTTCTTGAGCTATTGTGGTGGGCAATGAGACTGCTACAACATAAGAGTAAGAGAAGGAGCAAAATAGAAGAAAACAAGACAAATACATTGAAATAGTCCTACTTCTTCCTCTACTCATTGTGATGGCTATGCCAGGTAAAACAAGAAAGATGGTTTCAGTGGTATAACCACAAGAAGGGACTGCAAAGAAAATTTTACATAACCACCTGCCATACAAGATTACATAACTAAAGCAGTATTGACAAATGGCTATCTGACATATGTTTAAAGACATCCAAAGAATGGAAATCTACTACCTTCTTACTGTCACGTTATTCCTAATGTTTGACAGAATCTCTTTTCTTATAATGTGAATTCATTGGTTTGTGTTTTACTCTTGGGGACATACTCTGTTCCTCTAGCTTTTTGGGCCCCTAATTCCCAGAATTCCTGACCATTGAATAAGCTGGCTAGGGCTTCTGGGAGTTGGAAGTCCAAACAGCTGGAGGACTGGAATTTGAGGATGCCTGAGCTACATAATTTCAGTCTGGTGCAGTGGTTCTCAACCTGTGGGTCCCCARATGTTTTGGCCAACAACCCCCAGAAATTCCAGGCAGTTTACCAGCTGTTAGGATTTCTGGGAGTTGTTGGCCAAAACATCTGGGGACCCACAGGTTGAGAACCACTGGTCTAGCTGCTAATKAACACATTATTTATTTATTTAAAACATTTATATTCYGCCCTTCTCACCCTAAAGAGGACTCGGGGCGGAGCACAGCATATATACGATAAACATTCAAGAATTCATTATATACATACATAAACATTAAAAACATTTATCTCARTATTAAAATACACTGTTTAAAACCRTCTTGGTCATCTGTGTCAAATCTAATTGGCCTGGTAAAGTTTCCTATYGCTGCTTTGTTGCACTGTCCCGAAAGCTTGGTACCACAGCCAAGTTTTTACCATCCTTCTGAAGGACAGGAGAGAGGAGGCTGACCTGATCTCACCAGGAAGGAAGTTACATAGCCAGGGGGCCATCACCGAGAAGGCCTGCTCTCTTGTCCCCACCAATCGCGCCTGTGACAATGGCGGGATGGAGAGAAGGGCCTCCCCAGAGGATCTTAATCTCAGCAATGGTTCATAGTGCGAGATGCGTTTGGACAGGTAAATTGGGCCAGGGGTGTTTAGGGCTTTATAGGCTCTAAACATTAACAGCCAGTCTGAAATAAACTGGACCTAATTATACTAAACTGAAAGTGCAGTTTCTCCCTGGCCAAAAACAGCCACTCTCCAGTTACCTGATGCTATATGAGCTGAAGCTACATTGACTACAAACCGTGTTTAGTCTAGTGATGTTGGAAAATTCTTAATCAGCCCTTGCCCTAGACCAAGACTGCCCAACCTGCATCCCTCCAGATGTTTGGGTCTCCTACTCCCAGAAAACTTAGCCAGGTTGATCAATGGTCAGGCATTCTAAACACCTAAACAACCCTAAACACCCGGAGGGCCACTGCTTGTGCAGGCCTGCACTAGACCAACCTTGTGCTAGGATGAAATTGTGGTTGTGTTCTTTGGTTGGAGGAAATATAGATATGGCATAACTTGGTTCCTCTTTTGCCCTGCCCCCCTTTGCCTTTTCTGCTGGCAAACCTTAGCCAGCAGAGGAATTCTATCAGCAGATTGCTCTGCTGGCAAATTTTTGAAATCAGCGAGCTGAAGAAAGTTCCGATAGCAAAATGGTATTTCTGCTGTCAGAATGCATTTTTGTCAAATGCTCATCCCCTGTGACTGGTGAACCTTTGAACTGGGACTGCTATTTAAATCCTATTGATTTGTATGGCTAAATCTAGAGCCAACCTAAAGGGACTAAAGCAGCCATTGTGGGCGACAGTGAACAAGGTCAAAAAGGTATGATTCTGCTCCATGCCCCAGCTGCTTTGTTTGCATTGAAAATGTTTCCTTCCAAATACCTTACCACAGCACTATTAAAAATCATTCTGTTCAGATTAGATTAGGAAAAGGATAAAAACTCCAGCCTTCAAATGTCAAAGAATTAATGCAGAGCTTCCAATTTTATGGCTTGTAGAGCAAGGATGTTTGGTGTCAGGGATAGAGAAAAATGGTTTGCAGAGCATGTGATTATGATCTGTGCATTACATAAAGCAGAAGTAAAGTTATGGAGATTTCTTCTGAGACTGCAAAAAGAAGCAAAAAGCTGAAGAGATTAAAATGTAATATGAGTTCCAAATACGTACCATTCCGACTGCTTCCGCAGTTCAGCCAGCTGATGGAGTCGTTTGAGTGCTTTTTCCTGTTTCTTCTCATCTTTCCAGGACTTTGAAGCCACATTCCGTGCAAATTCCCTTTGTTTTAGCTCTTTCAGTCTCTGTGAGAGAGAGGTACAAGAATAAAAGATGATGCACCCCTTCTTAACACACTTGTGCATTTCCATTTCTACACACCCCAGAGCTGATAAAACACAGTTTAGATTTGAAATGCATTTTGACTGAGGTTTACATCTTTTCATCAGGAGCATGTATTTAACCATTGCCTTGGCATACATTTGCATCTTTATTGTACATGGGGATACTGACAACCAGAAACAACAGGAGGTAAAATTAGACAGTGCTAAAAGCAATTGCAGAGTTAGGCTGTGAAGCAGAGGAAAAGTATCTGAGTGCTGTGTGCGAAGTTGCTCTTAGAGGAGCTGGTACCACAGAAATAGAGAATTGCTGTCCCTCAAGTAACTGAACATGATGAAAGGTCTGCTTAACAGAGGACTACTGTTAGTGCGTGCATATACTCTTTTCCATGAACGATGTTGCAGGTTAGTACTGATGGCATAGGCACTAACTAACTAGTAAGTGCCAATGACACACAGCCATAGTGCATATACAATCACATAAAGAAAGTGCTGGCTTGAAGGAGAACAAAACAAACCCTCAGAAAAAGCAGCCTACAGGATAGCATTTGCGCCATTATCTAAATCACTATTAGCAAAAAGATATTAAACATTTACACCACTGAAATAATTTGCTTTATGTGGGAGTTTTCCCTTTTTCTTTAGGTAGTTGGACTGTAAGAGAAATGACATGCATAATTTACTGCTGCTCCACTGCTGAGTTGAGTTCAATAAACACCAATAAGCTTTCTAAGTACTCATGCCAGTTTATTTATTTCAGACATATTTTGACAAATCCAAAGCTGCTTCCTCTCCCCCAGGCTTCATTCCATCCCTCCCCCCTAGGCTTCCTTTTATACACCCCACTCTCCTGATCACACAGGTTGCTGCTCCCATTGTGTTTACATATCTCTGGAGCAGCATTTTTCAAGCTGGGGGTCGGGACCTCGGGGGGGGGGGGCGTCAGAGGGGTTGCCAAAGACCATCAGAAAACACAGTATTTTCTGTTGGTATTGGGGGTTCTGTGTGGGAAATTTGGCCCAATTCTATCGCTGGTGGGATTCAGAATGCTCTTTGATTGTAGGTGAACTATCAATCATAGCAACTATAACTCCCAAAGGTCAAGGTCTATTTCCCCCAAACTCCATCAGAGTTCACAATTGGGCATATTGAGTATTCGTGCCAAGTTTGGTCCAGATCCATCATTGCTTGAGTCCACAATGCTCTCTGGATGTAGGTGAACTATAACTCCAAAATTCAAGGTCACTGTCCACCAAAACCTTCTAGTATTTTCTGTTGGTCATGGGACTTTTGTGTGCTAAGTTTGGTTCAATTCCATCATTGGTGGTGTTCAGAATGCTCTTTGATTGTAGGTTAACTATAATCCCAGCAACTATAACTGCCAAAGACAAAATCAATCCCCCCCCCCCCCAACCCAAGCAGTATTCAAATTTGGGTGTATTGGGTATTTATCTCAAATTTGGTCCAGTGAATGAAAATACAACCTGCATATCAGATATTTATGTTACAATTCATAACAGTAGTAAAATTACAGTTATGAAATAGCAACAAAAATTTTATGGTTGCGGGTCACCACAAAATAAGGAACTATATTAAGTGAAAGGGGTAGTGTACTCAATACCTCTTACATTTTATGAGTTTACCCAAGAGCCTGTGTGGTCCAGTGGCTTAAGCACTGGACTATGATTCTGGAGATTTGATTCCCTGCTTAGTTAGGGAAACGCCTTTGGGTGACCTTGGGCAAGGCATACAATCTCAGCCCCAGAAAACCCCATGTTAGGTTTACCTTAGGGTTACCATAAGGTGGAAATAACTTGAAGCCAACCAACAACAAGGTTTGATCCACCATGGAACAATTAATTTAATATTGTTTAATAAGAGCCAAGTAACAAGTAATGGAATCCTATATGTGAGTTATGTCTTTGTAAGTTGAGTTTTGTGCACAGGAATCAGAATTTTGAAAAAGAGTTAAAACCTGGCTCTTTGTGGAAGCATTCACAGATGCAGTGTAAAAGGCTAATTTAGATCCACGGAACAACTGGACAATGCAATGGGAAAATGATTTTAGTAATGAGATGCTGAAGACTTGTGTTTTATTGTTTTTATTGCTTTTATTGTTTTTATATGGTTTATACTATATGTTAATGTTTTAACGATATTTTATGTTGTTGAAGACATTGAATTATGCCGATTGTAAACCGCCTTGAGTCGCCTTCGGGCTGAGAAAGGCGGTATATAAATATGGTAAATAAATAATAATAATAAATAATTGGGCAGTTTTGTAAAGATTTTATAACTTCTAATCTAGCGTAATCAGAACTCTAGCTTACTTATGTTTATTCACCTATATATTATTATTCTCCTACTGCCATCCACCTTACTAAGCATGATAGTATTCTCTAATGAGATTTACTTTGGCTCATTTGTTTGTCTTTTGGCAGTCAATGGTATCTATAGAAGTCTCCTCCAACATCACATTTCAAATATCTTTTGAATCTCTTTCTGTTAACTTTATTCAGTAACCGGGTTTCACAACTACACCTAGAAAACACACATACTATGACATGGAGAATCCCAACTTTTGTATTCAGTGACGTAGATCAAGAATAGGGCTTCACAGTCACCTATTGACCCACCGCCAGTACACCGATCTTGGATAACAATCCTACTCGGACTACGAGGGATCGCCTAAGTAAGCAAGCAATTCAATGATGTATCTTATTACATTACTAGACTATATTGGGTGGATTGTCTATGTTTAAGGAAGAATTTGTGAAATATTATATTACCAGACCATATTGGATGAATCTTCTATGATAGAAAGGGGAACTCAGGAAAAAAAAATGCATTGGTGGAAATATGGTCTACAGAGCCAGTTGAATGCATCTCCAAATATTTCTGGAAGAAAAATCAACAAATGGCCACTAAAAGGGCATTTGTGAAACAGAGCGCATATGCCCACTAAATATACAACAGTAGCATTTGTAGGGCTGGCCAATCGGCCAATGCTGCCAGCTCACTTTGCATCCTAACAAGCATTGCTGAACAATATCAAAATAATTGCACTTATCCACAAGGGCACTCAACCAACATGCTGAGCTTGGGAATTAACATAGATTTAAGTGTGCAATTACATTTTTTCATACCATTAGGTACCTAACTGGCTGGCTAAAACTAGTGAAATGTGCCAAAGTATGATTTATTTTCACAAATTCTACAGCTTGGGTCTTTGGCTGTTCCAAATAACAAGGGCAAGACACTTGCAGATTGATTGCATGAGCTGTTGCAAGGGCAAACACATGCATTATATCAGGCAGAAAAAGTTGTGCACAAGCACAAACTGTGGCCTCACAGTGGCACAATGAGACTACCTAGTATATTCTGAGGCACTACAGTAGGAGCCATGGGAACATATAAAAAAAGCAGAAAGCAGTGCTGTAGAAGACCCCTCCCCGCAATTATGCACCACGCTAAGCAGCGAAGATAAGTTGGCATGCCTCTGGCTGGCAACACAGGTTAGTAGCATTCAAAGCTGCTAATGCATCTGCGGGGTAATAATTTCCCTGGACCTGATGATGATGATAATGACATTTTTGTTTTTACTGAATCAACTGCATTTGTACTTTGCCTCTGCCAATGAGCTCAATGCAGCTCCAAACATCTATGTGAATGTGATCATATGAAATATTGCTCTTGTTGTACTTTTATGCATCAGGTTAGAGTTGTACTGAATATTTATAGTAAATTTTCACATTTTGGTTTCTGTATATAAGTAGCATCACAACTCAAGCCATCATGTTGGAGCCATGTTGGTTCACACAGCACACTGAAAAATGCTCAGCCAACTGTCAAAGAATGGAGTCCATCCCTTCCTCAAGAGCAATCTGTTCCACTGTCAGACAGTTCTTACACTAAAGAAGTTCTTCCTCATGTTTAGGCAGGATCTCTATTTCTGTAATTTGAATCCAAGAAAATACCTTCTTCTTCTGGCTCGATAGCAGTACGTGTGAAAAAGATCTTGGAGTCCTCGTGGACAAGAAGTCTAAAAAAGCCAATGGGATTTAGGTCTGCATAAATAGGAGTACAGTGTTTTAATCCAGGGAAGTCATGCTATCCCTCTATTCTGCCTTGGTCAGACCACACCTGGAATAATGTGTCCAATTCTGGGCACTGCAATTAAAGGGAGATGTTGACATATTGGAATGTGTCCAGAGGAGGGGAGCTAAATGATCAAGGGTCTGGAGAACAAGCCCTATGAGGAGCAGATTAAAGAGCTGGGCTTGTTTAGCCTGCAGAAGAGAAGGCTGAAAAGAGACATGATGGCCATGGATAAAAATGTGAGGGGAAGTCATTGGGAGGAGGGAGCAAGCTTGTTTTCTGCTACCCCAGAAACTAGTTCACGGAACAATGGCTTCAAACTACAGGAAAGGAGATTCCATCTGAACATTAGGAAAACCTTCCTGACTGTGAGAGCTGTCAAGCAGGGAACTCTCTGCCTCAGAGTGTAATGGAGGCTCCTTCTTTGGAGGCTTTTAAGCAGAGGCTGGATGATCATCTGGATGGTCCACAAGGTCTCTTCCAACTCTATGATTCTATGATTCTTCTTCTTCTTCTTCAACAACAACAAATGGATCCTAATATTCCCCTAATGTCAACTAGATATTTTGAACCTCTATTCTCAGAATGCCCAACATTGGCCATGTTGGCTGGGCTTCTGGGAGATGAAGTCTTAAACATTTGCAGGACTTTTTTTTTGTCGTGTCAGGAGTGTCCTGTTGTGAGAGAATTGGCCATCTGCAAGGACATTGCCCAGGGGACGCCCGGATGATTTTGATGTTTTATCATCCTTGTGGGAGGCTTCTCTCATGTCCCCGCATGAGGAGCTGGAGCTGATAGAGGGAGCTCATCCGCCTCTCCCCGGATTCGAACCTGCGACCTGTCGGTCTTCAGTCCTGTCGACACAG